ATATATATATATATATATATATATATGTATGCATGTATGTATATATAAATGCTTTAAAATATTTTAAACCAAGTCTTATGTGCTTCTCCTGTGTATTGATTTTCAAATTTTATGGAAGATTAATTCTTTTTCTTTTAATGAACCTATTCGCGTATACAGGCCCTGTAATCGTGTAGAATTATAGACAGTCAAGATTGAGTCCTATATACAGTCATTACATTTACTTTTTTTATCGACAAAACTACCTGTATTTGTTAATGGACTGATAATTGATCAATATATGCGTTTTAGTTCAGTCGCGTTGCCTTTCTGTTTCACTCGTATAGTTTTATGTTCGTGGTTGTGATGTAAATGTTAAGACTTACAGGAATGCGACGATAGCACATTAAATACTGTAATGGGCAAACATAATTCTCTTACCATCTTCTTGATATTCAGCATTATGATATTCAATGTGCTCCGTTTTGAAATTCCTGTACACTGTAGAAATATAAATAAACCGCTCAAGTGCGACGTCCAGCGTTGTTCCTTTATACGCGGATAACATCGCTTTTTGTAATTTTAATTAGAATGTAATTTTTACTAAAACTCCCACGTACGGGCCGCCCTGATGAGCCTTTCTCCATTTGCAGGGTACTCTTATGTAAAGTTGTTCACAAGTCTCTTTATATTAACAATTCTCGGCCGCGTCAGTAGTTGTTACAGAGATTGTTTACGTATGTAGTGTTGAATATGTACTTAACTAAGGTATATTTTATAATAAACTTTTTCTGAAAAGGGAAAAATATATCTTCCTATTTTTTATCGCGTAAAACATACAAAATAAAAAGATAAATTAACAATAAGCGTTTTTTCGTTATCCAACCAAAAGCTACCAAAAACTACAGCGATTAAGGCTATCTTTGTTTTCAGGGATCAGAAGACCTTAGTCGCGGTTGCTTCTGGTTGCATAACGAAAAAACGCTTAATATCTCTATAAATAAAAAATAATTCTCAAATGTATTTAAAATATCAAAATTTCATATTTTAAAATAAATTAATTTAGATGTGGCGCAGAAAATTAAGTAACATATTTGGAAATAATGACTACGATGAATGAAAAGAATTACAATAAACTTAAAACGTTTATTTGATATATATGAAACATATAGAAAAATTTAATTATGGAAGACTGGTTTTTTAAAAATAAATTACACATAGTTATTGATATTATATTATTTTGATAATTCATCCATTCATAAGCGTACAAGATTTTACATAACTATAAAGTATATTCCTGTATCATAATCCGATTAATGTGGCAAATCTTTTATTTTGCAGAACATTTGCAAATTTCTCTAAAATTAATAAATTTAGTAATAATATTACACATATTTTCTGCTATTTTTAAAAATTAGAAATTGATTACGAGTAGAAATTATGAAAATTCTTGACATAATGTAGATAAGTCCTTAATCTTTAATATTTTACAACTGCAAATAGTAAAAAAAAAGTCAGTAAAGAAACTTTACGAAAAAGAATAAAATTAATTAAATGCAACAAAAAAAAAATACACGCATTTATATAAAATAATAATAAAGATGTAATTGCATCGAATAAAATTAAATAATTCGTCTTTACTTTGATAAAGTAGGATGCATTATACATAACAATATATATTGAATAGATACATAAAATTAATAAAAATAAATATATATAATATATATTATATATATATACACACATGTGTATATGTATACATAATTGTATATGTATTATATATCTATATGTATATATTAAATATTGTTCAACAATTTGTCATTTCAATAGAATAGTGAAAATTACTAGATTCGATTCTTTAATGTTTAGTACTGAAAAAAGGTAAAAGTTTTTAATACACGTACACACATGCATCAATAATATATCGGATTATTGCACGCATATCAAGCTCAAATCCGTAAAGTACGAATATTGGCCAAAATGTTAGTACTTATAATGAGCTCTTGGTCATACCTGCTTTTATTTTTTCTGTAGGAAGAAAAAATCTCATCTAGCAAAAAGTCTTTCGCTAAACACTCTGCTGATTATCGTCAATCTATAAAGCGCGAGTTTCTATATTCTTTTATGGCAGCCTATAACGAGTAAAATTAGCATATACAGACAGTATTCTATCGAAAATCGTACAGTTTATACTCATTCGTCGTTGCTATCCTATTACATGCTATATATGCACGAGACTGTCATGATCGATCAGCACCAGTGAAGAAAAAACAGTGATCACTCGTTATCATCAATAAGTCTTATAACTGATATACAGTATCGAAATCTTTAATGCGCTTCAAAGTACTAAAGTTCACCAATTTTTATGTATCAGTAACATATATTTTGCGATCTACTGTCTCCGAGAATGATCCGTGTCTTTCGATCCTTCCCCAGTGTCGTTCATGTCTCTCGGATGATCCTTAGAATTTCTATCTTTGAAATCGCGAGAATGATAATAATGATTGCTATCTCTTCGCGATGCTTGACCTCTGTACTTGCGATCACGACCGTAATTGCGGTACTCGCGAGATCGATAAGACGGTGATTCGAAACTAGCCGCTTCCGCTGATTTCACACTGCCATTCTGGAGTTGTGGTAAAACGGTCGAGTCTGTTTCTGCATGATGATCTTGCTTCTCATGTCGATTCGTGCTATATCTGTAATAATTTACAATTTTCACATATCCTATCTTTCGATATCTCATAATAATTTTTCAGATTTTTCAAACATCATAAGACTAATAACAGATGTTAAAAAGTTATAGAATAAAATTCTATAAGCTATACCTCAGTGATCTACGATGCCAATAGCTCGGTATTGGTAATGGTGGAAATTTACGAGAGTTCTGTTCCTGTGTCGTACTGGTAGGCGAACCACGGTTGTAATGGCTATTATTACCGTCACGGGAGCGCCCACCTCTGCTGGTACTAGCGTTATTTGCTGAAGAAGCCGCTCGTAGCGAAACTATTTCTTTCTTTTGATCCATATTTTCCTTGTGTAACCGTTTCACCATCGCGTACGATTCCTCCAAAAGTACAACTAAGCTCGCCTGCACAGGATCTCCCACTTGAATTCCAACATCCGCTACTTCGATTTTGTTCTTCTGATCTTCTGTTATGTCCAATCTTCTACAGAATAAAGAAACGTTAGCCTACTATCACGGTACCCATATATTTTCGTATAAAACAACTAACTTTTTTTGCTGTTCTATAATATTTGACAAGTACTGGTTATGCGTTTTTGCCTCTTGTAATGACATCTTAATGTCTTGTAAATCTTTCTCCAGAAGTTCCACTTGCAGAGGTGTTACATTGACACATGTTGGGCTACCCTGTTCAAATTTAAATAAAAATTGAAATCTTTATTATATCAATACTTAATACATTTTTTGACAAAAAGTAATATGATATTATATCGTATGTACCTTTGATTTCGCAAACCCATTTCCATTATCTTCGGGTGAAGAAGGACTACTAGCCGCACCATAAGGTGCTCTTTTGGAAAATACTAATTGAAATTGCAGATCTGCAGAAGTTTATAAAACGGATTAGAACCGACATACTCGAGAAAAGCCAACATCTTTTTTACCTCTGTTTCTTTGACGCAAGCATTCTATTTCTTGATGTAAGGCAACCAAAGTTGCCTGATGTTGTTCCTGTAAAAATTTCATATTCTGCTCCAGTTGCATGACTCTATCTACATTCAGGCCTTGATGCCTAACATGTGCGAATCCGTCGTTTCTTTCAGGCAAGGAAACCAAGTCAGGTGGTGCTTTCTTTCCCTATAAGAATGATTGTATATAGCTTACAATTAAAATTTGAAACTTTTTTCTCTTTTATTCAAATAAACAAAATAATTAAATTTCAATCAAACAAAATAATTAAAACACATTGACTGAAGACACAGATATATGTTGATTAAATTAAAGAGCAATATTTAACACTGTGCTATAATTAAACATTTAACGAGAATATAAGTTGACTCACTTGAGGGAAGGGCACTGTTGGTAGTTTCATTAGCACTTTAGATGTCATCCTAAAGTTGTCCGTCAATATCAATTAGAAGTTAATTGCCAACACCCTAATTGCTTCGCCCTCGTCTATTTTATGGTATCTATTGTTTTTTCTAACGATCCAAGAAATATCACACGTTCAAACCACACATCAATACGATCTTGTAGCTTAAGCTTGCTAACGCGAATGAAGCTTTTTTAAGTGTTCTACTCCTTCTAGCGTGGGTAATCTAGAGGAAAATACATAATTTCACAATTATATCACTCCCGATAAATATAAAAAACCAAATATTGCTAAAATCACGAAACATCAGTACACATTTATGATCACCCTGCAGATATTTGCGCTGTTTCTCGAAAACATAAATCTAAGTAAGCCATTACATTATTTGTTTTACACTTGTAAAAGTGGAAGAAGACGAAGAAACGTAAAGATGAGCTATTAATCGAGCGTTACATACTCTGTGTAACGATTTATTTTTAGATCGAACACGTCGCAAATTTCACACAAAAGCGTACTTCCTTTTCAACGCGACTGTCACCAAAAAGAATGGCACGGATAATCGCGGGATTTGAAAAAACACTTCCCTCGGAGCTTACAATTGACAATCGGCCATGCCAAGTGGGAGTCTGTATGCTTAAATGTTACCGAGAAACAATTCAATTACGAGACAATAATTAGCGAGAATATATATATCGACAGATCGCGAAAAGGCCATTGTTAATTGTACATTCGAGAAACGTGAGGAAATTAATCTCGTGCCGATCGAACCACCTTACCGAGTATACTCCGAGCGTCTCGAACTTGCGGGAAGCGTTCGCAGGACGAGAAGCTAAAAATTGCGGAGCACAGCGAGATCCGAGGGTTGAATGAGAACGTCCTGCGCGCGCAGCGTGACGTTCCCGTGTCGCCGGCATCCGCGCGCCGATTGGCCAGCGACGTTCGAACGTGGGGCGGCCCGGAGCGCGAGACTCAAACGATCCTCAACGCGATCTCGCCGTGGCCGGATCGTTTCTCCAGGAAACGTGACAAAACGCGATTGAAGGAAGACTCGAGATGGCTTGACCGGCCAATGCGCAATTTTGCCTGCCGCCCGCATTTTCGCGGTGCGAAGAAAGGCCGAACCAATTCCACGTCCACCGTTCGAATCCCGCGCGCTTTTCACGCTCGAGCGATTCACACTCGACGAGTAGTCCGCCTATCGCAGGGGTGCTCCTCGCGTGCCGCCGTATTTCTCGCCGCGATGAATCAAGCTCGCTTTTCGGCCTAAATTAAGCCGCGGCGCGTAATTAACCGAGGCATTCGCATCCGCTCGGCGTGAGTGGGTCGGGATGGAAAAGGCTTACTTTTCGAGGGCGTTCCACTTGACGCTCACACCTGCTCGCAACGCTTCGATGAAATCGCACTTTGTTTATCGAATGTTAATCAAGGACAAGTGATACGCGCGGGCGAGCGTTACAAGCGCCGAATCGAAGTCCGTAAAGGAGGAGCGTTGAGTACCGCTGGCGATTACACCCCGTCATGGGGGTGGCCCGCGCCACCGAACCGCGTGAGTATTGATCCGCGCGGCGCGTGGCCGCGCCCACGCTTTTCCGATCGTATCTTAAGCCAGCGTACGTTTCTCATCCGCGCGGCGACAAAAGTCCGCAAACCTCAACGTTCGCTCTCATCGACCGGTCCCGCACGTAGAAAAAAATATATATATTTCTCTCCACCGCGCTTTCGTTTTAGCTTGACTGCATTTAGAAAATTTCACCCAGGATATAATATCATTTTTTGTTCTTGTTTAACAGTGAACAACAAAAATAAAGCAAAGATAAAAATGGTATCTGATGAATGTATATCCGGGTGAAATTTCCGAACTATATCCTTTTGGGTTTAATTTGAAGTTTCAGTTTTGAACTCGTTCGAAATTCGAATTGCCATTTTTCCCCCTCGAAAGATTAGGAAGAAAAAGTTTCGATCGAGTTGCAGTTACTGTAAAACGGAAAACGCTCCATATACCGATAACGAAACGCGATCGATATAGACATACCTATAACGATTTGGTATTCTCTTCTTTCGGATTTCCGTTTGCGCTTCTTCGCGGGGAAATCGATATCGAGTATCGTTGGAACGGCCTTGAAGCCACTCTGAGAATCCGACAAAGGAGAGACATCGATTTTGTTCGCGTCGCGCCAATTTCAGCCTGTACGAACCGGACAAGGAACTAGCATTCCCAAGTCCTCCGCGTTCTCATGCAAGGAGTCGTGCCACGGCGTGTCCCATTTTTTAAGATCGTACTTCCTCCTTTTATATCCGTCGTTTATGGCACGTCCGAGGGGACGCGAATGAACGCGGACCCCTCGGAGTCCCGGACATAACCAATGGACAGGATGTCACTCCTCTTGAATCCCGTGGAACCCGTTCACTTGAATGACGACGAGACGGAGGATTCGTACTTTTCTGGAAATGAGAACGATGATTATAACTTTAAGGTAGATTCTGCAGAATCCCGGGATAACATATGTATAATGCCCGTTTCGCATTTATATTCCCCCCTCTTCCCCTAGTAAGCAAAATAGTGGTATTCCAGTAAACATCAACAATAACATGACATCAAGTGTTATAATTTTATTGTGAATACAGTCACTTGCATTATACACTAAATCGGAGTGCATAAAAGCTGTTGTACATAAAATTTCCAAAGTTGAATGTAGAAATACATAAATATATTTTAAACAATTAAATGTCCTACGACAATGGCAGTGTCACATTATTTAATAGAATTAATATTATTTTATAATCGAATTTGATTATATATTATACCAATACTGCATTTTATTTTATATAAAGCAGTTGTTAATGTGCACTAATCCAGTGTGCAAGTGACTGAATTCATGATTATTCATAATAAATATAACACCAACTGACAGTAACATAACATCAATGTATAATTTCACACTCAACGATGTAACTGTTATACAACATGTTATATTTATATTGTTGAGTATTAAACTACCATGTTATGTTAGTTTACTAAGGTGTTCTAAAAATTGAGTGTTTATGTTAAGATAAAATACTGAGAGAATCATATAAACACTACAGTGTGTTAAATCCATATTTTTTGGAGTATACATTAACAATTTGTTTATAGATTCAAATAGAAAATTGTAGCAGATTGATATGATCGCTACTAAACTCAAGTTCTAATATAGAATCTGTTGATGTAATTTGACAGTAGACTACTAACAGAAATCGAATAGAAAATTTGTGAAAAATGATAGCTGATTCTGCTTACGATCAGTTTTTACAGTTAATCTGCCATCATATTCTATTATTTTTTCTGTTGACATTTTGCCAACAAAATATGTAACAGTTTCAATAAATTTCACTATTTAGGATCCATTTCATGAATTTTAATTTTATCACTGATAAACGAAATAAAAACCTAACCTGTTCTTCTCTGTTAAAGTATGTGCCTACAAATCATTTCAAGTACATAATAAAAGACGTACGCAGACAGAGATGTCGGGAGGAAGAGGAAAGCATGTGGGCATCTTTCGTAAGACAACAAGAGCTGAATGGTTACGACAAAAATCAATCATCCGTTCAGAGCATCAAACAGCTGTTGGATGAGGGTATGAGAGAAGCAGATAAAGAACTTAAAAAATTAGAAACAAATATTTTGTCTGATGAAGTAAGGAAAGAATATGGTAAAACTGGAAACAACCAGAAGAGAAAGCCGAAGGTAAGTGAATTTTCTATGAAGATAATACCCTGAGAAAACTAATTAGATTGCTAAAGCTCATATAATAATAGGTAAATAATATCAGGGACTCGACTTCGAAGAAAGCGCCGATTATGAAAGACACAGGGACAGGTAGCACCAATTTGCTGCTTACAATTCCTGAAGAAGATAATACTCCAGCTTATGAGAGAAGACATGAGTCTGAGGATTTCAAGTCATATGCTAGAAAGTCTCGCTCTGGTCATGTAATACCGCGAAAGAAGCAATCTTCGAGACAGCTGCATCATGCGACTAACGGCACCGAGTACAATTCCAGTCCTGAAAGCAGTGCACGTCACAACGTCATGACAGATGGAGTCATCTATATACGGCCGGATCCATTTACCATGCACAAAATCGTAACGATACAAAGGAAAGTTTGTGAGTTACTGGACGAAATTGCGTTCAGAATGGGAAACATTTCGGCGCCGGATGGGATTAAGGATCTACAGAAGCGGCAGCAGTGCGTAGCCGAATTTACTGTTCGATTCTCGAGGAATTATCTATATGATCTTAATAGATACATCAAGGATATCCAAAGGCATATGTGCGTTATTTCACCGCGCGCGATAATTAAACCGAATCACAGAAATCTGGGACTTCACATGCACGCCATTGAACATAAACTTCTTGCTGCTCATCAATTGTTGCTGCACGCATTGGTCGCCTATTGTAAACACGTTCCTAGTTCAATTCCTAAAGGACATCCTGGAAAGCTTAAAGAAATACTCCAAGTGGTTCTCGATCTGAAGACTATGTGTGATAGACTTCACTTGAACTATTTCGATTCAGGCGACACTGATGTTTTGTCGTTGGTAATGTTATTAATATTAATCTACGATAACTGTTGATTGATTGATTGCAATATTGTATCTTTTTTTTGCACTTTACAACAACGCAAGAAGCATTAGATTCAAATTTACATAGAAGGTCTTTCTTTAATTGCAGGGGAAGGAAATTGAAAGTAAATGCAATGCTGTTTTGTCAAAATTCAAACTGCATGCGGATAATGATTTTTTAGATACTAATAAAACTTCGTCAATAGCGTCCTTCACTCCACATTCAACAAATAAAAAACGACTCAATCGCAAACAATTATCTAATCGGTTGAGTATGTACAGTGCGGATACCAAAATTTCTAAAAATATTTCTAAACCCAAAACAAGTATGTAAAATCATTTTATACATTAATAAGTTAAACGTATATTTGCATATGTTATTATTTTAACTTATAAGCTTATCTTTTAGATACTATTTTAACTTATATGCATTATCTTTTAGGTTATCATCAAAAAGATAGAAAATATAATACAATAGATGCTAAAAGAATTTCTAATGAACCAATATTGGATCAGCCATATCCTAGTCCTGTAACACCTTTTAAAGATGCAAATCAAATAGAAAACATAAGGAAACATAAAACATTCGCAAAAGAGGAGGATATAAAGACTATGATGGATATATTACCTATAGATTCAGATGTAAACAATTTACTATTTATACAACAATACGAGATAGATTTATTGTAACAACGTTCAAATATTTTGTTTCAAGACATTTATTATTGCTTATTTTGCAGGGCAGTAATTTTGAAACACAGGAAAGGCATAATAATGCGATGCTCACAAGAAGAATATGCAAAGTGCCGAAAAAATGTTCTAGCAAGTCGCAGAATCAAAAACAATTAGAAACGATAGAAAATATTGTTAAGAACACGTCCACAAATAACGACGATGAATCCATGAAAAAAGAGCTGATGAGTACAGAGGAACATTTATCTAACTTGGTGCCAGTTATAGCAGACTTCATGTCTTTTGTTTCTAATAAGGTGAATTACAGCAATATTAGATAAATTATCTCTTTTAAAATAAAATTTAAAAAAATGAGATTATTTAATTACCTTGATAATTCCAATCTATCATATTATTAAATTTATATGTAGCAAAATGAATCAGAGGCAACGCCAGCTTATTCTAAAACTATGACGAAAACACTAATGAAATTCCTACAGAAATATCATTTGCCTAAAAGCACATACGCAAAAATCAATGCGAGCGCAAACTGTGACGTATGTTATTCAGGCAGCAGTGAATGTGAATGTGTTAAAACAAACAGGTATTAATATACACATATTATATAAATATACTTTTACTTATTTTTTACGTTTAACAGTTAAAGAAATTAAACGCCATTTAATATTTTATTTTTAAAGAACTTTAACCGAAAGGCGGAAAAACGGCGAAAATATGCAATTGATTTGTGTATCATCAATAGAAAATGCATCAAAAGTACCTCGTTATTGCGATGCGTCATGTCAAGCGGATTACGAGAGCTTAACGGAATTGCCGGATTTTGAGGCAAAGGTAATAAATAAATAATAAAAAGAAGTTATTAAATATATCTTGAGAATCAAATGTAAAATTGTATGATGATTAATATTACATAATAGGTAAAGCAAGGAAAATTTATGATAGATTCGCTGAATAATATCGAGCTTGTTGCTTCCGAGGAAACTGAGATGAATTTTTTGAAATATAGATGCGAATATCAGCGATTGATGCAATCGATTCCAATGTACTCTAGCAATACACAAAATAAACCATGGGACATTGTCGCTTGGTAAATATAACACTGCTACTTTGAAAGTTTAATTCTCTAGATGCGTTTACAACGAATGGTATTATTGCAGGATATCTGATAAGCTCGTAGATGAATTGATAACAGAGATAGCAAAGGAGCTGCAAATAGAGGACGTTATACAGAAGCTTTTTGAGTTAGAATTCCAAGAATTCTAACATTGATGTTGCTTCTCTGTCAAATCCGAGAGAAACACATAAAAAGAAATCATATAAGATACTTTACTTTAACTTTGAGATATTTTATACTATAAAATACTAATTTTGGAAAAATATAATATTGTGATTTTTTAAAATTATCTCCCATTTTTTTACTGAATGGTAGAAAAGAACAGATATTTTTTTAGATGCATTTAAATATGAATATGTTATACATAATATGTTTTAATCAGCGTGTGGTATATGCTCCTTCTTCTTATTTTTATTTTTAACTTAACCACTTGATTTTTAAATAATTTTTATAATATGTCAGTTAAAAAAGTATATCTGTTTGATTTACAGTGAGGAAAATATTAGTGGAACATTTATGGAAGACATCAACTGTGTCTGCATTAAGTATGTTTTACCAGTAGAATCTGTTGACATAATCTGATAGAAGATTGACAGTAGACACTAACAAATCAGATAAAATCTGTTATTTCATAACTATTTGGAAACGGAATATATTCTACTGTCATTTTGCTGAGAAAATTTATAGCTTGCCAAATATGTTTTTAACAGATTCAGTTTTTATATAAGTTTATTTTTTAAATTTAATTCACATAATTATATAATAAATCAAATATAAAATAATGCAAATAAAAAAAATTATGCGAAACAATGATCTTTCCTAAATTTCTTCATGAAAAGAGGAACAATCTTAATGTTATTAAATAATCGTTAGAATAAAGCCTAATGGAGCTTGCACATTTTGTATACAATCGTAACAAGTGCGTAATGCTTCCATCAGCTGATCCATTACAAAAGACCGGCTTGACCGGCCATCACCGCGCATGTCTCACATATATGAGGCACCGTGCCAAAGAGGATCCTGTTTAATACGTATGTATACGTACGATTTTTCTGTAAATTTCTAAAGAGCGGTGTACATAATTTTTAGTATTATGTCAAAATACAATTATATGTCTTGTATACATCGTACATACGTTCAATTAATTTCGATTCAGTCATAAGTTCTGGAGAATCACTTGGTCGCAACAGTTTCGGTTCGGGTGCTACTGGTATATTTTTGAAAGTATTGCCGACTAAACTGAGCATAAGTACCTCAATTGATTTTTTCCCGCGAATTTGGACGACCCGTTCGTTAGGAAGAAGAAAAATTCGATAAAGTTGCTATGAGCCGACAAGTTCTGAAATTATACAAGGACATTCTCAGATATGGCGAGACTTTAAGGTTCACGAACAAAAAGTATTTTCGATACAGAATTCGGACTTCTTTCAAAACTAATAAAGATCTGCCCGACGAAACGACGATAAACTACCAATTGCAGGTAATCACGCTGTATTTCGAGGTGTGAGTAATGCACCGCACTTATAACCTCAATACTTCTAACCTATAAATCATTGGTACAATTTATAATATTTCTTTTAAATATACTACGTTAAATAATTCTGGAACAGAGTTGAAAGCAATATATTTTAATTTAGAGAAGTTTCAACACACATAATCAAAAAGGCAAGAAACAGGAAACAAAAAGCACATTGTAGAATTAGCCTTATAGAATTACATTTATAAGAACGAGATTGATTTGTTATGTGTAAAACTTGTTTTTAAAATAAATTTTTACTTTATTTTTTATTTATATATTAAAGACATATTTTTACAATACATATAATGTAAATTATTAATTTTTTTCCAATGTTAAAATTTTTGAAATGTGATGTAGCAAATGGTTTTTGTTGATAATTCAGAACTAATGCATTTCTTTATTTCTCCTTTCACAGAAAGGTATAAAATTCTTGGAAGCTAAGAAAGTGGTATAAATTATCATTGGGTTTACTGCAATGAAAAACATCTTATGAAAACAACAGAAGAATCATGTCGATCAAATCCATACTGACTTATTTAAAAGTTCCCAATAGCATTTCTTCACTGGCTAGCCACAACGAATTGCTCTGGTTAGGTATCATGATTAATTACAAAAGCATACAGGTTCGCAACAAGTCATTTAAACGCTATCTTGATTATTCAAACGTTCCTAAACTGGATGAGGCTGATCTGGAGGAGCAGTTCATCCGGGGTAGTGGTCCAGGTGGTCAAGCAACGAACAAGACGAACAATGCGGTCCTGTTGAAACACAAGCCCACAGGGCTCGTCGTCAAGTGTCATGAGACAAGGAGCCAGTGGGACAATAAGAAACGCGCTCGTGAAATCTTGGTGACAAAGCTCGACAACTTGCTGAACAAGGAACGCTCTATCGAAGCCCAGATACATGCTCTTGAGAAAAAACAGCAGACACAAAAAGAATACAAGAGAAAAAAGCTGAACGAAATGAAAAAAGCATTTCGCGAACGTGAAGGCTTGACGTGACACGTGGTTCTATGTACATTTCTTCTAGAATGTAAATTGATTTAGGAATGAATAAAATTATTTGAAGAAGAGACAACATAAAACGCACTAAAAAGAGCCAACTTATAAATGTTAACTAATTGAATCTATTAGGCAAATAAATTCATATTATGAGTTATCTGAATTTTGTTTTTAGAAATACAAAAGCTCCATTTTATTTTAAAATTATAATTAACTAGCTAATTGCGCTGTATAATTTTTATTATCAACTAATTAGATTAGTCGTCTACACTACTAAGATAAAGAATACACTCTAAACTTGAAATTAAATCAGTCTATTGAACTTGTTGGTCAGTCAGTTTTTAATCTCTTTCTTTAAGGAAGATATGGAATCAAAAAAGGTACAATGAAATTATTTTTAATGAAAAATTTGTATATCTTTAATAATAATTTCTCTTTCTGAACTCATGAGCGACTTACAGCAATTCTGCTTGAAATAATGTATTTGGATATACTGGAGAATCGAAAATATAGAATATTACCTTTAATAATATACACAATATAACGGAAACGTATGTGTGCGTGTTGTGTGTGTGTGTGTTTTTTTGTGTGTGTGTGTGTGTGTGTGTGTGTGTGTGTGTGTGTGTGTGTGTGTGTGTGTGTGTGTGTGTGTATACATCTGTGATTACAATGTTATAAAGCTGTATGCAGTCTTGCGCACTCTAAAAATATAATATACTCTAAATAAAAATAATTCTTGATTATGATCTGAATGTCACGAAATGGTGCACAATTTTCATTTACATGAAACGACAAGAAAGAAAGAAAAAAGAAATAGAAAATAAGGAACGACATTGGTACTAGTAAAAAAAAGCCGTAACTTCTGTCTCTGAGAACACAATGACCGCATCTAAAGTATGTACACACAGGATATACCGCGGGTGGGAAGTGTTAAAACTAACCACCTGAAAGAATGTCACTAAGTAGAATGGTATCATTATACTATGATGCATGTTAAATACTATTCTACGTACATACACAAATAATATTTTATACATAATGTACACAACGGTGAAACGGGATATCGGTTCGTGAGATCGATAACTGATCACCGTTAAAATCTAAGCCGAAGTACAGCCTCTTTCTTCTTCGTCTTCATTCTCCAGGTCTTCAGCTGTTCTTCAACCACCGCCCAAAGTGCCCACGACCGGACTTGACACGCTTCTTCGGTGGCTTGGGGTTCGATCGTGACGATCCGCCAGAACTTCTCAACCGTCTATTGTTCGCCACCGTCACCGTCGATAGTATACTGTGATCTATTTGATCGTCGATCTTCATCATTCGTACGACTGGTTGAAACTCCATGCTAGAACGACGTTGCTCAAGCTCGCTGGACGATATTATCGAAGGACTGATACGCTCCGCCAGAGTGCATTGATCTATCGACGGATTGGACGACTCCTGGATGTTATCTGACGACGAAATGGCCTCACTTTTACGCTTTACACTGCCGCGCACCCCGGAGCTCGGTGGCTGTTTCTTGTTACACGACGTAATACTCAAGTAGGCATCCTTTTTACAATTCTCGTCCTCGTATATTATCCCGACGCGATCGGACGATAGATTGGCATTGTTGCGAGTGACGGCCGTTTTCGATTGACGTTTTCTGGAGTAAATCCGCCTCCGCGAACCTATCCGACCGCGCCTCGTCGTAGCAAACACGATACCGTGACGACGTTTCAACAATTCCCCTGTGTCGGACGAATTTTCCTCACAATTACCGCCGCGCAGTTGCCGCTTTGGTGATAACTCGGAATTAGAATTGTGATGTTTCTTAGGAACTATACCGCTCTCCTCTTTTCTACACTGTAACTGCAGATTGTCCTGATTCTCAATCTCCGTGTCCCGTAATTCGCAACTATCAGTGCTAGTTACGGTAACATGCTCGCGCTGCCGTTGCTTTTTGATAGACGACGATTTCGCGACCAAGTTCTCGGTGATCGTATTGACGTCTTTTCTACTTAACAAATTGTTCTGGTTCTCGTGATTCTCATCGTTGCCCGAATCATTCTCTAAGACCTCTTTAATTTCCGACAAATCTTTTCTACATGGATAATCTTTGCTTGACAGATGGGTCTTATTCGTCCCATCGTCACACGCGTTTTCCGAAACGGACTCGTTGTAATTGTCCATACTCGCTGACAGGCCCGTGTTATCATTGCTGACAGCCTCTACATTTCTGTCCTTTTTCGCAGGCGTCTCGTGATACGATTTTTGAGACGTAGTGCAAGTTTCCAGCGAAGTGTCGTCGTCATTTTTCTCACTGACACCTAATCGTTCTGCAACCATCGGTAACGTGTTATTCATTGGCGTTGTTACTGCATGAGAATCTATCCTCTCGGTATTCAATGTGTGACGTCTAACAAAACCACCGTCAGGATAGAGCTTCTTCTCTACCAATGATTCCTGATCGCAGTCCGTTAACATTTTGCTATTTGATTGTATTTTCTTTTTCATCTTGTTACCGACCGGCCAACCGGTCCGATTTTTTCTTCGTTTCCGTCGTTTTAACGGAATGTCCGCATTTGCCTCACCACATTCCGAGCTAGCGCAGGATGAATTATTTTCTAGACAGTTGGTAATGTCTTGACAGTTATCGAGCAATTCCAGGAGATTCGGCGGTGCACCCTTTGATAAGTTCGTTTCGCAAAAACCATCGACCTGCGCAAAATCCACATCGGGTTCAAACGAATCGTCCAAGTCGGTCATACCTTTCACGCACAACATCTCATCGATCGTCTTCGCTATCTCTTTTATCTCCTCGTCCACGTCTAATTTGAGATCTGGTTTTTGTTCGAGCTTGGGTGTATTCATGTGCGATCTGATGGGCGGTGATTCTTCTATCGCAGGCAGAGTCGTTTGTTGTTCCTTTTTATGAATTATTGTGGACATAATGGCCAACGTGGATGCATGACAACGTGGACTCTTCCTCGGCGAGCGTCCTACACATCTTACACCGCGACCGCGGCCTCTTCTTCTACCACTCTCAAACCTGCTCTGTGCTTTCATTAGCGTTTCATGGAAGTTTTCAATCTCATACGGTAGGAGAAATGGCTTCATCGCCTCACATTCGCTGAAGCAATGCCAAAATTCAGCGCCTGCGTCCTGACGCTGATACGTTTGATACCACGGTTCAGACATAGGTATCGACTCAAAGGAGAACTGCATCTTCTCGATCTCTGCCGATGGCTTGGACGGATAAATTTTCTGGACAGCGCCGTCGGCCTGCAATTTGCAACCTTCCGATTCATGCGTCGATCTCTTCGCCGTCCCTTCGTGTTCCCTACCACCATCCATGGCAGTGTCCTTAACACCATTCAATGGAGCCTGATACCTTAATCTGCTGCCAGGCGTCTCGAATTTGTAGTAGTCGGTATTGTCCTTGATGAACGCTTCGGCCTGTGTGCGTCTTCTTTTCCTTGCTCTGCCTAGGTGCACGGAATCCTGCGAATCCTCTTCGACAATCTCCTGCTTAATGGGACTGGAATTTAACGATGAATTCGGCGATATAGATGAATTGACAGTGTCATTAGGCTCGCTTTCCGTATCTCTTGATATCACGCTACTATGCTCACTATCACTAGTTTGCTCGCTGGAATCGTCTCGTTTTGGCTCACCGAACATGAAGGATTCCGCTTCATCACTCAATAAAGATAATTCTGATTTCCTCACACGCTTAAATCGCACTACCACTGGTTTTTCGCTGGACGGAGCTTCCTTCTTCTCTTCGCTCTCCCCATCTTTCGATATCGCATGTTGCGAATTACCGCCTGGCAACGCACTCGATCGCAGCTTGTTACCCAACACTTCCACCTTGTAGTAGGCACGATTATCTTCTATCAAACGTTCTTCCACCGATAATCGATGTCGATATCGACCTCTGATATTTCTGCCACCCCTCCGACTCACGCGCGGATGCTTGGACTTCATATGACGAGTATTCTCTCCTTGCGACGTTTTCAGGTCCCTTTGTTCGCTCTTGTCGTTATACCCGTTGCAAACAATCTCATTCGTATCATTCAACGAAAATTTCTTCGCATCAGTCGTCACCTTTTCCGCTTGCAACACACAATTATCTCTTTGAAACGGATCGTCTTTGCTTCCAACAATGTAATTATTATCAATTACATCGACTTCTTTTACCGTACACTCCACAACACCTGCATTTTCGTCACCATTATATTCATTTTTGTTATTAAGATAATCTGGATCCTCCGATATGTGACGCGAATTTACAATACCATTTTGCGCATTTCTATGTACGACCGATTGCAATTTTGGCGGATCCAGATTACTGTGTTTATTATTGATATTATCTTCCTTACTGTTATAAAACTCGGTATTATTCGAGAACAGTCTGATTTTGTAGTCTTCCTGCTTGGGCTCCTTAAGGATATTCTTGGTGTACTTTTCGTCCGGGTCATCTTCCTCGATCCAGATAGTACCTTTTGCGCGTTTCTTGATGGTAAAACCTTCTAATTTGTCATAGAATTTCTCGTTCTTGTCGACCTCGTGCCATGGACTGCCCTTAGATCTGAGAAGATGCCCGCTCTCGTGTTTCGTACGGGTACGCAGATTATGCGGGGAGTTTAATTTTAAATTAAGGTTTCTGCGCGCACCATTCACCATTTTTAAATCGTTAACAGGAAAGTTATTTAAAGTTTTGGTGTTTTTGTTAACTTTCTCCTCGGGCAATACATTATGAAGATTGCCATCTCCATTGGGGAATAAGTCACAGTCTTTCCTATACAATAACAGACAGAAAATGATACATATTATATCACAAATATACATGAATGATTTCTATATTCAATAAATATTAAATTCTAATAGAATAAAATAAAAAAAAGTAAATTACATAAGATTTTATTTGTAAATACTCACTCGATATCCTTTGTTCTGTTTAATTTTAAAAACGCTTCCACATTGGCACCCGCGTTGATTAATGTATCCAACGATAAATAATTGTCATCGTTTCCTACAAAGTTCGAATGCTGCTCGCTTTGTACATGCTTTGACAAATCCTCATAATGAATACGACAAACTTCGCAATAACCAGCTGCCAGCTGTTCCGTTCTGCGGGTACGTGC